ATGAGGAGTCCCGGACTATATTGGAACATCTGTCCAGTACTCCTACGTTTTTCAGTACTTCTCTAACTGATATCATCTCATTACCAAGGATGTGACCAATCAAATCCCTGTTAACCAACTCTTGGTAATTTACCTCGTTCATGACCGAAACTTAGGGCTTTAACATACAGGTCTGACAGGTTTTCCACGTCTCTTTCAAATGCCATTACGACTGATAACAAAGTATTATTTTCTTCTCCTGTCATAGTTTCCTCCATATAACACTCGAACTCACGCTCAGTTAGTCAACTGCCATTTGAGACCCACTCTTGGGCCTGCCTAGGGTGTGATGTCAAAATGTCTCCAAACCATCCTAATTTCCTTCTTCGTATCCTGAGGATAACAGGTTGTTGGCTAGTCTTCAGACTGTCAAAGTTCCATCCTCTCCGTCCTTTCCAAAAGACTATCTGATCTTCAATATCGATCGAAGTGTGATGCGTCTAGTCCTCTCTTTGGTGCAGACTGAATTCTATCAGTCAGGTTTTTAGTGTGGTCACCATGAGTTCCTTCAAGGCTGCAGGTACGCCTTGCTGACGAGTGCCAACTAGCACGAAACCTAGGTCAAGCAAGGCTTTCTGTGGCCGATTGCCTCCAACTATCTTATATCACCAAAATCAATGTGCACCGAGATGGCGAGCTACCTAGAATGATGGCCACATTACAAACCTGACTGATAGAATTCAGTCTGCACCAAAAAAGAGGACTAGACACATCACACTAGTTACTAGTGTCAAATCAAAAATATCTGTGTTTACAAGAGTGCCATATAGAAGCACTAAATTACTCGCTGTTAGTTCTGAAAATTTGGATCTCGTTTCATTGTGCTGAGTGCAGTAGGTATCCTGACTGTTCCCATAGAAATAACAGTTTATCTGGCTTTCCTGATCCTTGTCGGCTGGGTTTTACATTTTAATGCGTACCGTCTGTAGCTGAAAACATGCTGTCTAGATAAAAGAAAGTGGTGACTTCTTATAGATTTTTCTCAATGGCAGTTCACTATTTCTGCAATTTACTAGCTGGTAATAAGGGTAGAAAAAGAGGGAAGTTTGGGTTGGACCCAGGGACCCTAACTCGTAAAATCAGCCTAATTGCTACAGAAACGTCAAATCACAGATATAATCACTAACTGACGTCACTTCTAAAAGTGCTGGAAGCCAGTGAGTGTTAGACAACTGTTTCATCACAATCCGAAAAGGATAACCATTCATTTCAAAATGCCCACAAAAACAACCCCGTAAGAAAAATAAGTCGTTTTAACCACAATCCTATTGGATGGAAACGACAACCAATCAAATGCCTTCTGTGAGGTCATTGGTTATTTAATTGTCTTTTGATTATTGAATACAAAACTAGAATCACGAGATCAGCTGATCAAAATGACCTGAAAAGTTTAATGTCATTTAGAGCTGTATGAACTTATGTGTGACAAAAGGACGTAAACATTTATGCTACCATCATAATTAGTATTTTGAGACAATGGTATTATCTTTGAATATATTGGTATAAGGTGATCCACAACGGAAAACTCAGCGAGACGTTCTAAGTGAATACAGGATTAAGACAAGACTGCCTTTTATCACCAATAATGACATTCTTCATTGTGGTGGACTGGATTATGCGTCAGATTGTGCACAGGGAGAGAGAAGATAGGAATATGTTGGACCGATAAAAAAACTATAGAAGATCTGGATTTCGCGCGTGGTTGATTTATGTATAATGCCATACAAACTCGAGGACTGGTAGGTGAAAACCAACAATCTGGCAGAAGTGGTAGGCAGCGTGAACGTAGAGAAGACAGAGGTGATGAAGATAACCAACGAACCGCAACAATAACAACCAGCACTAATCACCATCAGCGGGGGAGATTTGACGGAGGTTACTTCCTGACTTCACTTATCTATCTAGGAAGCATCGTTTCAACCACAGGCCAGTGGAACGGATGAAGATGTCAAAGCTGGCCAGTCAGAAGCGGAAGGGCAAGATACTCCTTCATTAACCTGAAACCAGTTTGGAAATCTTCTGCTTCACTCAATCAACATAAAGAACAAGATTCGAATTTTCAACACCAATGTCAAGTCAGTCAGTCAGTTGTTCTATATGAATGAGAAACTTGCAGTGCGTGTCACGAAAAGCATTCCCAACAGGCTACTTAAGACTTGTATCAACAGCTACTCCCTTCGCTGGTTGGCTCCATGCTGAAGATCAAATAGTCAGCCTGCCAACCAGAAAGAATTAGCAACAAGAAAATCTGGCTGGAATCAAGCCAACGAAGAGCCGATTGCTCAACAAATATGTAGGAGAAAATGGAGATAGATCGATTGTGCACACGTTGAGGAGGCCGCTGAATGAAATCGTGCGCAATGCAGGACACAGTTCGAGTGGAATCGCATTGGGAAGCGACGAATGGGTCATCGGTGGGAGGGTGACATGGAGAAGATCGTGTGTTGGGTAGGAGGAGATGAGAGGTTATGGGCAATCGTGGACCCAGCTGAAGAGAAGAGCAGAAAGTAGACCAAAGTGGAGGTGTGTTTTGAAGTCCTTGTGTTCCACTCGGAGCCCAGGGGAAAAATAATAATAAGTGAGATGAGCAAATATGAGTGTGTTGTAGAATGAAACTAGATCTTTTCAGAGTAAACCAAGGAGCACTGAACAGCCGTTTCATCCAAGTTTGGAACTCTTCAACAGTGCGCACTCACGATCCCTTCGGGTTATGAAACCAAGTTGGCTGATTATCCAACCAGTTGGCCAAAAACTCAGTTACTCTTGAATTCTAACTTTGTCAGCTCATGATGTAGCGCTATCCAGCTCCAGCTCATTGAAGACAACTGGATGAATGTCCTGTGGCTGTAGTGAGAAGTCTTGACCACCACATCCGAGTGAAGTGGACTCTCGTCGAAGACATTGATGAGGGTTGAGCTTTATCATGAGTTGACAAACTCAGAATTCTCGGGTCTTCCCGAATAGCTGAATGATAAACAGGCCCAGTGTCGTCACCTAAAGGTCCAGGTTGGTGCATCCATGGTGCATTCGTAGGTGATCACTGCTGAACAGGTCTAAAACAGGACGAAATAGCTAAACAATGCTCTGTAGTTTTAAATGAACTCTCTGACTGATGTTGGTTCGGTATAAAAAGCTTATAGATGAAATGAAATCAGAAATTCGCTGGTATTGACAAGCACTGTTTGAGTTAGTAAAAGTAAGAATGCAACCTAGTACTGAAGAGGTAGAAAAAAGCAGCAGCGATGACAGGGTTTCTGAGGGAAAATAGAGAAGATGTAAGTGATGAGGATGCTCCACTACACAACAAATACTGCTTACCATCAGTGGATGAAATCTAAAGGAAGCTATTTCAACTACAAGTAGCATGAATGATGGTCATGTCAAAGCTAGCCAGAATCAGATTGAGAAACCAAGACAGGTATTGATTACTTTGAAATCAGTATGTTGTGTAGAAGTGCATCACTTAACACTGAGAAAAAGTTCTCAATTTTCTCGAACATCAATATCAATCAACCCAGTATTTCTGTAAGGTTCAAATACTCAGTGCGTGCGTCATTGGAATGCTTTTCTAACTGCCTTATACAATCTTTCATCAGAAGCTACCACCTTCGCTCTCTACTGAAGAACAAATAGTCTTTTGGAAAAGGTAAGTGAAATGTCAGTCTGGCAATGCATGGGACCTACAAACAATCTATTACTGAACAAATATTCAGAAGTGATTGGAGATGGGTCAGGCATACGCTGAGGAAACTATGGTGTGAAATCATACGCCAGGTTTCTAGGTGCAGCTTGAATGAAAGGCGGTAGTTTAGACGTGTGTATGAGGGTGACGCACACGTGGCAGTAATGAAATCTTGTAGGCACTGGTGAAGACAGTTGTTACCGTTTAGAGCGAACCGATGGGAGTGAAGATATATTTCTGAGGTTCCATATTCCACTCGAAACATGAAGTGATTAATAATAACAATTATCTTATTAGATCTACTGTCTGGCACAAAATTTGGAATATTATCCACATGGTTGCATAACAATCCTTTCCTTGTAAGATTCAAATATAAACGATTTTCAAAGGTTTCGCATTTTATGCTCTCAACAAGTTTTTAACGTTCAAATAAATGGCTTCTTTATTTCAGTTTTTAAAGACTGTCTGTTAGCAGTCAGGTCCCATGAACCATTACGCCAATATTTAATTCAATTTTTGATTTCCCGTCGACTGACTGACTCGAAGTGCTCGGTCTCAGGTTTACAAATCGGCTTCTTGTGCAGATACTTCATCGATGTTTGGGGCATGTAATCAGAAGTAAATTGGTGGGTGGTGACTAGCAGTGGAATCCAGGATGCGCATTTGGTCCTATTTGGGACTCGTCATCTGGATGTGCCTGCATTCCACAGTGTGGTGATGTTCCCACAGTGCGCATAGCTTTAAACGCCAAAGCGTCACCCACAAGGCCACTTGCGCCACGGGAGCTGACCACTTCTTGTGCAACGGGTCATATTAATTATTTAATTCAGTTTTAGAGGTGGCTCTCGTGGCCCAAGTGGTCTAGTGGATAACGCTCTGGCGTTTGAAACTGTGGGTACTGGGGAATGCAGGTACATCCAGCTGACGAGTCTTAAATGGGATGAAATGCGCATTAACCCGGCTTCCACTGCCAGTCACCATCCACCAGTTCACATTACTCCAATGGGTAATACTGTAGAATTTTGAGAAGCTGACATCAATGTTCTTTTTACACTGTAGAGTTACTCGTACATACGGGTAAATACAACTGAGAAATCTTGCGTTCAGAACGATGCATCTCAGTATAACCATTTAAACAAACCAAATTTCAATAAAATGTAGCGCAAAAATACTCGGAATACATCCATTGAAATATATATATAACAGGGTTAATATGGTAGAGTTTTGTTTGATTACTTAAAACATGGAAAATACTATTTTCAGAAACTTTGTAACTTACAAGTTAACCCTATCGGAAATAGAAAATAAAAAAATAAAATAAAAAATCACATTAAATTTCATTGGTAATTATCAGTAAGGACTATATTAAGTAATAACAATTATAATACTATTAAAGCTCTTAAGTGGTTGTTATATCAACATTGAGTGTTGAAATACACTTCATCTGCATAGAAGTCCATCTATCTATTTATTATCTATTGTCGAACACTTATTCAACAGCATAAAATCAATACTATTAATGACTCTTTCTCAATTATTACATAATTATTGTTATCAGTCTTAATTACATAATTTGAGAAGTTGATGTATAAGCTTCAGTTTCATACTTTGCCTTTCGTTATATGGTAAGCAGGATTTTCTAGATATCTAGGACAGCTGGTGGTGGCGAATCATTCCTTTGGCTTGTAAACTCAATTGGTTCGATGAATAGAGCATCAGGTGTCAACCACTTCCTCCATTCAGTTATATTAGATTTTATGATTTTCATTTTATCCCATCCTTTGTATGGGATGTATTTATAATTGTATGTCATGCTATAACTGAGCTGCTTTCTAGATATCTAATCTCGTTAGGATCAGAGAATCGTAATTTCTGTAAGTTTTCGTGCTCTGTTAATCTACTCATCTGAATAATGGGAAGGATGAAAGACAAATTGATGATCAAATTTCAACTCTACGTATAATTATCGAAGAAAACATAGAATGGCAGTCAAATCTCCAGCTCAACTTCATCAACTTCGAGAAGCCTTTCGGCAGACAGCTTTGACGGAGTAGTAATTTGGAAACTGGTTCAACACTATGGCATGCAGTGCCTAAATTTTTGTCAACTTCATTCAACAGACAAGCGACAATGCCACGTGTCAGGTGATCCACAACAAAGAACTCAGTGAAGCCTTTTCAGTGAATACAGGAGTCAGACATGGTTGTTGTGTTTTATCACACACGATGATATCCTTAATTTCCGTGGATTGGATTATGTGGAATACTCTGCACTGATCGATAAGAGGATTCTAGAAGATCTGGATTTCGCGAGGGGATGATTTATGTTCTATGTCACACAAACTCCAAGACCTGCAGGCGAAAACCAACAAACTGGCTGAAGAGGCTGGTGGCGAAGACAGGACTCAAGGTGAACATAGAGAAGACGGAGTTGGTGAAGATAGCCAACCAACCAACAGAAACAACAACAACAACAACAACCAGCACCAACCACCATCAGTGAGAGAGATTTAATAGAGGTTACTTCCTTCACTTATCTGGGAAGGAACAGATAAATATGTCAAAACCAGCCAGTCAGAATCGGAAAGGTAACATATGCCTTCACCAACCTGAAACCACTTTGGAGATTTTCCGCACTCAGCAAAAAGGACAAGATTCGGATCTCCAAGACAAATGTGAAGTCAGTCAGCCAGCTCTTCTATACGGGTCAGAAACTTGGCGTCAGCTTCAACAACAAGAAACCATGGAAACAAACTAATGAAGAACCTAACTCTCAACAGATACGTAGAAGAAAATCAAGATGGACTGGACACATACTGAGGAGACAGTCAAATGACATCATCATAATGGGAAGCGACGAGTAGGGCGTGGCTCTGAGGGTGACACGGAGGAAATCATGTGGCGAGGAGGAGATGAGAGGCTATGGGCAATCGTGGACCCAGCTAAAGAGGACAGCAGAAAATAGAAGAAAGTGGAGATGTGTTGTTGAAGCTCTATGTCCCACTTGGAACCCAAGGGCATAGTAAAAATAAATTATAAAAATGAAAGGCAAATATAAAAACCAAGTTTCGAAGTTCTACAGTTACATTTGATATGATTTGGAACAATGAATTGTGTTCGAAACATAATCCAGTAAATAGTAATACTGTTTCACAGTGTGTAATATTTGCGATAACATATCTAGTTAATAACGAATTACATACTACCACAGTGCTCCAGTCTTTTAGAGCATATATCAATTTGGCTTTTGATTTCGTCTTTGTAATTCCATTTATGCTTTCGAGTGGAAGTGAGTAAGTAAGTAAGTAAGTATTGTATTATTGAACTACGGACACTTTCACTTCGTTTAATTAATTACAGGATTTCATCATGAGCTGACATCAGTTATAGAACCATTTGAAAACCTCGGAGTACTGGACAGCCTTTTCCTCCTTGTTTGTGACTCTTTAGCAGGTTGAGTGTGAGGACAAATACTCACCAGGAATGACATTGACTAGTGGTAGAGCTATTGTATCGGGCTACATTGACTTAATGGTCTACAAGCTCTTCTCATAACCACAGGGTCCTTGGTTCAAACTGTGGCGGTAAGCTTGTACTGCTGAATATTCCCAAACTAGGCTGATGAAACAGCTAACTGACAGTACTCCCAGCTGGTTTTCCAATGGTTTTTTAAGCAGTGTCAGCTCCTGACGAATTCCTGTAACTAATCAAATCCCTCCAAACCAACACTTGAACATCAAATTTATTCGTCAATTTCATTGCAGATTTCGTCACGAACTGACATATCATTTGGAGAACCATAGGTAGGTAACTGTTTCGTCTAAGTTCAAGGTTTCAGCTATATGACTGTTATCGAATACCTATTGTATGTCGTAATTACATATGGTAAACCTATTGTTTATATTTATTTTATCAAACATCAGTGGATTGATATCAGGTGCAAGTGTATTGGCTATAAAGAAATCCTCTAGTAAAGGATCTAGTAGAGAACCCATTGTCAAAAAAGAAAACTGAACATTAAGTGTACTCCGAAGTATGAGTACTTTCAAGTATGACATAAGCATCTCGATATTTACATTATACATTACAAGTGAAAGCTACTGTTTCATTGAATGGAACATAAGTAAACACCTAGTATACATCTAATGACAATACAGATTTCCCGGTGGATAAACAGGAGACTAGAATCATGCATTCATTTACGTTACAACGTGTAGCAGGTCGTGAGCATGCACATTCGGATTCATCCTTCAATATCGTTTATTAGGCCTAACAAAATTTGCCAAAAGATGATCAGGTGCCATTGTTTTGCGTAAAAGAAGCCTTGGCTATACATTATTAACTATTATTGCTCCTTTGGGTTTTTTACCGGAGCATAGGGCTTCAACAATACATTGGCTGCCTGGCTTCCCGGGGATGGAGTTTCACCAGCCCGCTGTGTCATTTAGCCCCTCCGATTTCAGAGAGGAATAAGTCTGTCTTTTAGGTTTTTTATTTTTAATATTTTTATTGTGCTTTGATGTTTCTGTAGCAGTTTGATTGGTTTTTTGGTGTAGGGTCGCTAGCCCCACGCCCGACCAACTGGCTTTTCCAGAGCTTGGAACCGGCTAGAAAACTAGTTGGCAAGTAAGCTACACGAGGTATATGCATCTCTAATGAGACTTCTCCTTCCCATATTGTTTCATTTTGTTTGGCTTTATTTCACTTTATCACATTCTAAAGATTTAATCTTAATTTGTTGACAATAGTTCACTCATTTTATCTTCACATATGTTGAGTGAAACTCACATTTTTGATGCTATCCTGGAGTAGGATAATTCTATGCACTAAACATATCGCAAAGTGACAGAAGTCGAAATTCATGGGCCATTAGATTCCATCCAAGTTAATGAATTGTTGATGGCTAGCCTTGCGATTTAAGGGTACTTGGTATGAAATGCTACCAAAATCCTCCAGACTATGAAGGAACAATTGTCAATTGGATATTCTCCGGTTCTCAATGATTCTCTAACTGATGTGTCAGGTGAAATTTATTTAGTATTCTGGATATTACATCAGAGTATATTATACTCCCAAATGCTGATCCCATTAGTTTGTATTAAGATACCTAATAGTGAAATAAAAGATTAGCGCTTCATTCGGTTTCAGAATCTTAAGCTGTATGTCGAAACATCCTACGTGGGTTGTGGTGTTCTCAATGAAAGTAGAACCTGGCACACATCCTCTCAAATGCCACTCTTATCACTCGAGGAAGATGCAAGTATATCTAGGTGATGAGGAGACATGCGTTCTAAATTTTACTGCTGAAATGGCATTCATCCCTAATACCTGTATGATGTCCAAAGTTAGTTGATTAGGAATCTGTCGGAGAGGAGTTAGTGGCGGTGAAAAAGGAATATGACATCAGTCTACGAAGTCTTTGACAGTTGATTTTAGCCAGCTACACAGGTACGTGTAGGCTGCCTGCCTAGTTGGGGTTCTCTAGACGCTAAGATTCAATGACTAGAGATTGTTGGTGATATGCTACATATTCGTTACCAGTGATGTAAATACATTAACTCCTTTTGATCTCCTCAATCCACCAATTAGAGAACCATTGAAAACCAGAGAGTTCAGGACAGCTGTTTCATCTAAACTGATATCAATCCATGGTCAAACTCGTCAAAACAAGTGTAACCTTAAAAATCAACCCTTGAAAAAATTAATCCGATGCTCGCTAGTGACTTGCTACAGGACGGAGTTTCCTAGAGTGAGTTGTAGTCAGAAGTCGTAACCAATGAGGTCCATCCAGTCAAGTGTGTGAGGATGGATTTCCCACGGATGACACTGGTTGGTGGAAGCGCTAAATCACGAACTGGTAGAAGTTCGAATTCATACACTGGCCATTGAATTGGGTCCCAGTGGCTGGCTGAATGGTATACGAGCCAGCTCGCCTTGTAACTGAAAGGTCCTGGGTCCGGACCTTGGCAGTGGGTGCATACTGCCAATGATTCCTAAATTAGGATGAAACAGGTAGCTGTCCAGTACTCCAGTGTTGGTTTTCAATGGTTCTGTAACTGATATCTATCTGTGGTCAAAAATCCCGTCAAAACAAATTCAATCCCTACAAACCAACAGTTGAAAATCATTTCTTGGACTATTTTCAGACGGTTTTATTGTATTTACAATATTGTGTGAATGATTTTGTAATTAAGTTATGAGTCATGATAATTTGTCTTGAAAATTAACACAGTCTATTCAAAAGTCATAATTTGAAACATATTTTTCAACTGATTAAAACACCAATTAC